TGGCTTAAATATAGGATCGTCATTATACATTGTCCATACTATCTGATTTTATCACTAACTTTATTAGCATGTGACGGCATGTCGATCAAAACTTATAAATTATCACATAAAATTAATTAGTGATACGAGACAAATTGGCCCATATGTAGAAGTTCACATGACTTATTAAGCCTATGCGCCAATAGCAAAAGTTACTCAAAAAAATTTTTTTTTTTTGAAAAATCTATAAGAATCAAAGTCTTTTCGTTAAAAAATCGTACATATTGCAATCTATAAGAGAACTTGCAAAAACAAATATATTACTTTCGAAAATGCAAAATAGCACGCCACCACATAATCGACTTTCACGAAATCAATCTTCGAAAAATAATTATACAAAACATCAGCAATTAAATAAGCTCTCCAGATCATCCCCATACACAAAATCAAAACCGAAATTAAAGTCAACATCGAAAAAATCTAAACATCTAAAGTACAAAGATGAATCATTGATTGAAGAATTGGATGATTTAGTAGGTGATTTATTTTGCGACGACACCGCGAACAAAATTGTCACCAACAACACAGAAATAGATGATATAAAATTACATAATGAAGAAAATTTAATAGTGGATATTGAAAATACTGTAAATGTATTGGAAAATATTTTGTTGTAAAGCCATTTATTCAACTTAAATCAATTTCAATTAATGAATAAAATGACGAGGACATTTTTTAAAACTTTATTTCTATAACTATAAAATGAATTAACAGATATGAAATGATTTATATATATAATACATAAAAGAAATGAGTTTTTTTTAAATTTTTTTTTTTGTAATATCTTGAGGTACTAAACTTTTTTGTCAACAAAGTTTTCAAATTAGTAAATAATTGCAAGTAGGAAAATTACCAATCACAATCACCACCCCAATCACTACCACCAAAGCCACCACCGAATCCTTTAAACAGTGCATTACCGACCAACATACCAGCAGCCTAAAAAAAAAAAAATATTATGTACGATTAAATTACTAATTATTTTTTTAAAAAAAAGTTATTAGGCATTTATAATAAAATAACTTACAGCACCACCTAAACCCAATCCTATACCGCTTCCCAAACCTAATTTTTTTCCAGGTTTATGATGATGAGAAGAAGAAGATAAGGCTCCGAGAGTAGCAGCAGTCCCTAAAGCCGCAACAGGAGTGATGGGCTTGGGAGGTTTATGAGGTTTATTGCTGCTAATACCACCCAATCCCAATTTACTCAAAAATTTATTAGATTTCTTTGGTTTGGCTGCAGTTGCTGTTGCGGACGTTGAAGCGTCACCGTATTGATTATATGGATTATATGAATTTGGCTGAGGCTGATATGTCCCATTAGGTGAATAAACCCCTTGTGCAGGATATTCTCCTTGTTGAGGATCTTTTGAATCTGGAGGATATGGAGAAGAAGCTGAATAACTGTCGTTAAAAGAAGCGGGCGGGTATGGAGCTGGAGATGGCAATGCTATAGGCATTGATGGCTTTTTACTGTTGGAATCATGGATTTGAGAGTACGGAGGCGGTGCATCTAAATCTGTTGAAGTTTTGAAATAATAAGCTTCCCTTGGGTCTTCCCAAGTACTTTCCGGAGGATTTTTTGTTGTATCTAAAATAAGTATAAATCATAAAATTATTAAAAAAAAATAAATTAACCTGTGAATGTATAATACAAAATTTATATAACTTACCAACATAAAAGTATCTTCCAGCGCTTGCATCCCACTGTAAAAAATAAATCTTTAATATTAAATAATCTAGGGATCAAAAGAAAAATATAAATGAATGGGCAATGTTACTTGAGAAACCCATCCTGGAGGTAAAGGACGTGTATCCATATTCAACGAATAAAAGTTTAAACAAATAAAAAAAGATTTTTAAGGATTTTATTTTATTTTTTTTAAAAAAAAATAAATGAATGGATAATTAAAATTATGGGCTGAAACGAACAAGAGCAGTATTTATTAAATATTTGATTTTCTAGAAATGACCCAATGATGAGTCATGGTAATAGAATTCCATGGTCGATTAACTCCTTTGTAACAGACAATGTGCGCCAAAACCTTGGAATAATCGTTTTGTAGTTAGTTTTATTGATAATGTCGCACACGCGCATATATATAAAGCCTAATCCTATTAAAAATTAAAAATTCCTTTTTCAAACAAAAATTCTCACGTGTTTACCGCGGTGTAACTATGAAAACAGTAATCATATCTTTTCTTTGCTCATTTAATTCTCTCATTACATTAATTACTTGTTTTATACTCTTGATATTTTATATTCTTAACCAATATTATAAAATGACACCAGATTTGACATCGGGTAGTGAGGAAGATCCTAGAATAAGGAGAATTGTTCATGAACTTTGTAACCAGCTTGCATATAACAGAGAACAAACAAGACAATTACAAAAACAATCCAGTGAATTAAAGGTACTTTTATCAAACATATCTTTATGGCAAGTGATTTACTTTAAATCAATTGTTGTTTTTAGGGCAGAGTTGAAGAATATAACGGTTCTTTATTTAGACCAAATTATCGAGGTATGACGAAATTTCACTGCCTTTTTTTTTATTTTTTTATTTTTTTTAAGCTTATTTAACCTAAATTATTTTATTTTAGGTCCACCATTTGATACCGGAACAGATATTGAACGACAAAATGCGCAATTGATTTATGAAAATCATATATTGAATGAAGAAAATGCGGAATTAACAGCGATGGTTAAAGATTATGAACAATCATTAAAAACGATTATGATGAGATTCAGATATCAAGCCGTAAATATAAGTTAAATGAATATTATTTTATTTTTTTTTAAGAGAAAGAATTAATATTTATCTAATGAATTAATTTATATAAAGTATGAAATACAGCAAAGTAAATTGGATATGCAACGAAATTATGAGATATTATTGGAAGAACAACGGGTAACTAAAAAAAAAAAAGGAATTTCCAATTTCCAATTTCCAAATTATTAATTAATATTTAATTTAAATTTAAATTACTTTTCATTAAAGTCAACAACGGCACAAGTATTATCAGAGAATGCATCATTACAGACACATCTTTCAAATCTAGGCAATTTAGTGAGGGAAGCGCATAATGCACATTCGGACTTGGAGACTGATATTTTATTAGAGAGTTTGGTCATTGAGAATCAAGGTTTGAGACAAATGTTGGAGATTGCAAATGGAATTGGATTACCTGCACCAACAACCACCTCATCTAAAAAAACTAGTGTTCTGGAAGAGAAAGAGAATGGAGAAATACGATCACCAGAAATTTACAATAATAAGCTTTCAGAGTTGATTAAGGAAGAAGAAGAAAATATGAAATCAATGGAAAAGAAACTGGATTAGAACAAATTGATCTTTTCTAATCATAGAATGATCTAATCAGATTTACAAGCACCAAACAATTATTTTCTTTAATTTTTTTTGACAAAATGCATTGCTGTATTATAATGTTCGCATCTTATGTAAGGTTCAATAAACCAGGGAATGGTGAAAATAGCAAAAATGTTCATAAATAGACTATTTCTGATTTTCTTCAAAAGATATTCTTGACCTTTAGTTTTTTCTTCCTTAGAATTTATAGATAATTCCCAAATTATCAAAACTATCGCATTAAACCAAAAGTAAGATAATTGTTCTAAAGTAAAATATCTATTTGAACAATATAAAATATATTCATGTAAGATACCACTAACGGTAAAAGCAGCCAAGATACTAAAAAATCTTTGTAATTTGATAGGGGCAAAAGAAAGGATATGACAAGTAGGTTTGTAACCTAATTCAACAAAGAATATTCTAAATAATTGATGCCACCTATTATGCCACAAATCTTTTGGACTTTGTGATAAATAAGGATGATTATAAATGGGATTTGAATAAAAAAGGAAAGAAATTAACCATAGCTTCAAAGAATCCAATTGATCTGTGGTTAACTTTGTATGTAATAAAGAATTTGGTGTTGAATAGATGTGAGACAATAAATGTGCCGAAATAATAATAAATATCTCATGAAGATAAGTCATTGAACTACATATCATACAAGCATAAATATAACAGTATAATAAAACAAATAAAGAGATAAATGGAGTCCCATCATAATAGAATTTTATAACTCTAATGGGATAAGGGATATCCGAAACATCAGGTGCAAATGATTGTAAAATTTGAGCAAGTGAAATGTAAATTAACATAAAGCAAGTAAATTTTTTATAATGATAATTGATGTATAATTTAAGTTCATCTTGATCAATTCCTTGCTTTAAGAGAACTTCTTGTTTTGCGATCGGAATTTGACCTTCTTTTGGTCTCCAATTAAATAATGACCATATAAAAGGTTTTACCGTAACATTATCATTCAGTTTTAAGGAATATTTTAACCAAATAAACATTTTACTACTATAAGAAAATGAGAATACTGAGATCATAACATGAATAGCGGGCGGATATATGTTTGAAAATTTTAAGGGAAATATAAACATTGATAACATTGATAATATCAATATTAATTTATGAAAGGTTGAATTAGGAGATGAAAACGAGAATAAGGAAAAAATTGATAAAGGAAGAATGAAACAGAATAAAAAGTAAGTTGATAAATTTATTGGTGGTGGTGGTGATTTTGAAAAATCTAATGTATTCATAACACCATAATAATGTATTATCGTTATGATTAATAAAACTAAAAGTGTGGTTAATGTCTGTCGCATTTTTATTTAAAATTAAGGTTGGGAAAAACGTTGATTGAAATTAGAAAAAAAAAAAAATAATAAAAATAAAAAAAAAGGCGTCTTATATATTTTTGTAACCATTATTGCTTCCTTATTTTGATTTTTGTTTTTATAGATGCATAAATTTATTTTGTGAATGATAAATCTTGTGAAATCAATTTTAGTTGGATAACGTAATATCATAGGTTGATTGAATTAACTCAAATCACTAAATAAAGAAATGAATTGATGATAGTATTTCATGATGTAATTTTATATCGAAGGTCAGCAGACTTTGGTAGCCGGATTTATTTCCGGATAGGTTAGGATGAGAGTTAAGTATTAGGTTAAAGGGCATTAGGATTAGGATTAGGATTAGGATTAGGTATATTTCACATCCCAACTGTTCTTTAAATTTTATCCAACTATTTGCTACATATTGATAGTATATGTGAACTGGCAAAATAAACCCGGCTACCATTTTTTCATGGTAACGCTAGAGTTGTTTGGTTCAGCATGAAGAATCACGTATGTTGATCGAACATTTTCGCATGATCAATTCTCGAATGATTTAAATCTTTATCAGATTAATTTAATTATTAAATAAAATTACATTTTAAAACACATTTCATTCTAGTTTACAAATGTTTCTAAAATGGGTAAGAAAATATTTTTTTAAAAAAAGTATGAAAATAAGTGAAATTAAAATTGTCTATTTTACATTTCTTCTATAATTCAATTTATTATTATGATTATGATGATGATTCACACTTTTCTTTCCTGATGAAAGGATCGCATTCTTGATTGTACTTCCAGCATCCGATACCGTACAAACGGGAACAAAACCGCCATATCGCCATTCAACTATACACTTTTTCCCGTTCTCGTAAAGCCAATTATATAAGGTTAACACCACCAGTAAATATAAACCAGAACTTGCTAATATATGCCACATGGCATGTAATTGAGGGTTGAATGGGAGTATACTATTTTCTTCACCATTCACATAATCGCACAAGTATAAATCTATCAACCAAGTCGTGATAGCTAGAACGTAAATCATTAGACCCCTTTCAAATAATAATTTGATTGAAGGGTGAGATTCTTTCTTGCGTGAATAGATACGATACATTAATATCATGCTAACAAACTCTATGCTCCCGAATGATATGTGAAAGAAGGTGAATTGTAATGCACCAGTTGGTATCGTTATTGATGCGGTACAAAGGATCGCATGTAAGATCAACAAGATTGGCAACCATAATCCTTTTTTACCATAATTCGATTCTATTAAGGAGTGAAGAATCGTTAAAGCTGACCAAACCATTGGGACCTTTTATATTTTTAAAAAAAAAATTTACGTGATTAGCGTGCGAAGGAGATTAATCGAATGAACTTCAAAAGCAGAGAAAATGGAAATACCTCATCAAGAGCTTGCATTTGACTTGTAAGAGTACCGTGAAACAGTAAGCTCCCTATACCAACAACAGACACTAAACGAAACGCTAATCGAAATCGAAATGATTCACATGAATTAATCCTTGCTCCAACTTCACCAAATACTATCATTGCCAAACTTGATAAGGAATTCCAAAATCTATTTAGTTTTTTTTTTTTTTAAAAAAAAAAAAGGTTGGTATGTTTTATAAAAAATTCAAATGAAAAAAAATTTCAAATCAAAAAAAATCAATTAAAAATCACAACTCACTCCGCAATGTAATAAGAGTGTTCAAAATTATTTTCACACCAGTCTACTGAACTTGTAATCGGCCAAAAACCAATCTGTTCATTTGGTGGTGATTGAATAGTCATAATGAAATGAATAAATGATAAAATTACAACAAGTCTTAATTAAATGAAAAAGAGAAGAAAGATCAAAAATATTTTATTCGAGAATTTGAGCAAGTATTTATTATTATTTATGAAGTTAGATTTTCAGTAGTATTACTTAATTCGGTAAAGAGTTCTTGTTTTTTTGGAAATCGATCAAATAATAAAAGATGTTATTTAAGGAAATGCCCGTTCAAGTACCAATTAAAGGATTTTTCGTGAGAATATTTAGAGCAATTTTCGATATGTGTATAAGCATTCCTGTTGTATAACTTAAATAAACATCATGATTACCCGCAGTTTTATCCCATAATTTTACGTAATTGTTCCAAATTCATCACTTCCAAACGCATTTCTATTTTATTTGAATTCATTCACAAATGTCATATAAGCACATGGAGTCGCAATACAATTAACGAAAAATTTCTGCTAGTTATTTTTTGATGAATGAATTTGCGCTTAATGATGCTTTAGAAAAATTTTTATTTGGTTTTAGTAAAAAACTTTATACTATAAAATTAAGTTGGTGTAAAGTACGATAAATCATATACATTTTATTTTTTTACACGAAAGTTCCTTTTTTTAATAAATTTCTCACGATCAGGTGATTTTGTTTTCACAGGTGAAAGGCATTTGATTTTGTTGTGCAGCGCATTCCGCTTTTACAATCAGTTCCCACGATCTTTTCTTCCTCATCTTTAGATGTCACAATTGTCCTAAAAGTTAAACTAACCCTACGATCTCTTTTAATCTCCTCGCCGTTATAATATTCTATGGCATCCTTGGATATGGAATGTTTATAGTTGAATCTACTTGATTTTGTCATAATCAATAAAGATCTTGGTCCTGTATTAAAAAAAAAGGAAAGATATTAATAAAATGCATTGATGGAAAGAGATTGTAATGTGTACTTACTTAATAATACGATTGATTGATTGGAAGAATCTTGTGTATGTGTAAATGTCATTAAACATGGTGAGAGCAATGATAGGCTTAATATTACAGGACCAAACAATTCCGCTGAATCCATATGTGGCATTATTCCTATTTGGAAAATATATTAGGTGAAAACCTTTTTTTTTTAAAGGAAAAAAAAGGGATACAACTTAATCACCTTGACCAACTTGATATTCATTTACTATACACATATTAGGATATTCCATTTCGGAGATTTGTTTAATGAACCTTGCGATTATAAAATCCAAAAATGTTGGTAATGTACCCAAATTCTGAACTACTTTCCTTGATGTTTCACGATTTATTTAATAAATTTATTTTGTAAATCAATAAAGTGAAAAAAAACGAGATTTAAGTACCTATATCTATAACTGAATTCATATCCATAATGTTGAGTTCTCCTCCTCATTTCTGGATTTGGTCTAAAATGGAAAATTTCATTACATGAAAAGAATTAACTTACGTTGCGATCATATCACGGGTTAAGGGGTTTGAATTTAGGGATAAAAAAAAAATTCAAATTTAAATTTCTATCCCCGTGATATCACAACGTTATAAATATATATACTCACGGTATTCCATTCCCAGACCATTCACGCAAATCAATAGAATTAATAAGTTCAATTTCTTCTTGTTTCGTTATAAATTCATCAATTATATATGATCCATCAACAGGTGAATTTAATGATAAATGTGATATTTCCGTCACTGGCGAAGTTATAGACGATAATTTAATCTTGTTTTGAGAAGTAAAGTGTTCCGATGAATTCGATGAATTCATATCTAAAAAAAGATGTAATAAGAGAAAAAAAAAAAAAAAACTTGGGAAAAGCGAAAAAAGAGTCGACCTTTTTTTTATAGATAATCACCGTGTGTTACAATGCACTTGTAGCACGTGACTCTATATTCTGATTGGCTTATTACATATCTGATTTTAATTCCTTTTTTGTTTTTCTCAAACCGAAAAAACTTTCCAGTCATGACTTCACTTGGACATTCACTGTTCGTAATTTTAATAATAATTTGTATTTTCTTTTTCCTTATACCGCAAGAAATATTTATTTACTTAATTTCTCATATATATCTCTTTTTAAAACCAAAACATCCTTTAATTGAATAATAGAGTTTTAACAATACCTTTTCCTTCTTCAAGACTTGCAAACATAGCAGAACGTACATTAAATGTCGACAAAGAACTTAAAAGTGATCAGGTTAAACGAATTATTACAACCGATGATGATAAGCTAGTCGTGTACGTAAACAAAATAAAATTTCAAAATTTCAAAATTTCATTATTTTATTATTTTTAATAACTTCAAAAATCAATTTAATAGTACATTTGATTGTGCAAGCGTTAAATTACTTCGAGTCTCAGTTAATTCTTTACTTGACATGATAATTATGATTACGAAAACCATGGATGCTTTTGACGGAATGGAGTAATTAAAAAGTTTGCTTGAAGAAATCATAACCTTTTATATTTGAAATAAATTGAGTTAAACAGGACATATACAATGAAGTTGATATAACGACACTTAAATCGAATGGATTTTTTATGTGATAAAATCAAACTTCAGTTATCAATCAATCAATTGGTAGGTAATCCAAAGTATATGTTATCCGATAAAGAATTTCTCAAAAAGTATTTATTCAGAATAGCATTTATTGGTGACATAATGATACTAGGTATAATGTTGAACAACAATAAAGAATTTATTTTAAATTTTTAAAACTAAAAGAGATGAATCAACTCTCTTACAATTTTCCTTTAATGATTTTTACATTCTTCTTTTCTTTTTCTTCTTGAGATTTCTTTTTGGGTACTTTAATAATTAACTCGCCATTATTTAATTCGGCTTTAATGCCTTCAACATCAATACTATCTTTTTGAAATTTCAAATTACGAAGTAATTTTCCATGAGCAACCCAACTTTCTTTCATTATCTCATTTTCCTCTCCTTCATTAAATTTATCTTTTTCATCTGTTAAATGACGCTCGGCTTGAATGGAAAGTACTCCATCGTCAGTGATTTCAACCGATATTTTATTTTGCGGAATTCCAGGTAATTCTGTTCGAATTATATAGTGTGTTGAAGTACTTGAAACGTTTAAAGGAATTGAATTATAAGAAGCATTAGCGCGCATTAAAAACGATGGAGCTGAAAAAGCGTGTGGCAAGACATCGAAAAATTCATCAAATAATAACATTTTTTTTTTATGAAAGCTTCGTGATGTACTGGGCTCATTTTTATATCGAGAAAAAAGGAAAATAAATTTTCCCTAAACGAGTTATTTACTGAAATGTGGAAATTACTAGAAATTTGTGGCAAAGGTTGCTGCGCCTCGTGCAAAATACATCATAAATACTTGATTTGTTAATAAAATATCTTTTAATAAATATTTAAATAATTAGTACAAAATTTTTTTGTTCTAAAGAAAAAATTACAAGAGCAAAAGGTAATTTACAGAGCCAAATAAGATGAGAACATGCACAACCCCAATAATAATATATTGCCAAGCTCAGATGAAGCAGCAGAACTGGCATCAGGTGTTGCGCTTGCGTTTGAAACACCTTTAGCAGGGGTACCTTCAACAGCTTTTGTTTTCTTTATTAAAAAAAAAAAAGATTAGTCAAATGGTTTTCATAAAAAAGAAAATTTATTTTGTTAAAAAAAAAACTTACAGCTGCATCTTTGCCTTTTGGTTCATCGGCTTCTATACCTTTTTGAGCTTTTGGAGCTTTGCCATCTGCTTCTTTTTGGTTTTTTGCTCCGGTTTCTGTTGGAGCCTTTGTTACAGGAGCTTTGCCATCTGATTCTTTTGGGTTTTTTGCTCCGGTTTCTGTTGGAGCCTTTGTTACAGGAGCTTTAGCTTTTGGAAGCGATTTAGGATCAGTGCCTTTTTTAATAATAGTGATTGGGCCAGAATAAACCCAAGGTAATAAATTTGATTCTTCAACAGTGACAGGATCTTTATCGTTCTTCAATTTTGATCTTAACCTTACAATATAATTTGTTCCTTCCGGATATGTTTCAAGTAAATTGAAAGTAAATTTAACCTCACGAGCTTTAGCAACAGCGTCAATAGTATCAACATATCTAAAGTCACGTAAATAATCATTAGAGCGTATATTAATTTTGTAAAACGCGTAAATAACATACTTACAAAAAGTCAGCCTTACTAGTACCAGTACCCAATTCGATGTGAATTAATTGTTCAGGTGGTTGTGATTCAATGGGACCCTTGACCTCACATGACCAAGAAACGGTCTGAGGTTGACCCATTGTCCATATTGCATTCGGAGCGGGTTCAACAATTTTACAGTTTAACCTCTCGGTAGGTGGGGCCGTTTTACCTCCTTTGCCTTTTGCTTGAGGATCCGCTAGTCCCGTAGCTACGATGCAGCTAAGTGCAAATAAAGCTTTATAAAAAATCTTCATTTTTTATTTTATAATTGTTAAAGATGATAAGTTATTATAGAAAGGGAAAAAGTAAGCTCTATGCTAAAAGAATGAATGCAAAGAAGCTTGATCTTTTATTGTTTGGAAAATTATATGTGTAGAAGTACGGAAGGGGGAGAGGAAAGGGAGGGACGATGGTTGAATATGCTCATCTGAGGCGAAATTCACCGGTTTTATGTACTTTTTTTTTTTCATCCCAACTGAAGAGGCGAAAAATTGATTGGGTGATCATAACCGAACAATTAGAAGTTCTTTTCTGGTGTTTCTGCGGTGTTACTTTTATTCTTTTTCCAGGTTTAAAATTGATTGGTGTGGTGTTCATGCAAATGTTTATTCTCGTCGGTCAGACGTACATTAAAAAATAAAATAAAATTAAATAAAAAGCGAACGCCGATTTCTCCATACAATCGTTGAATAATTTAAGATTACAAGCATAATGTAATTTATTAATTTACATATGAAAAAGGCAAATGTGAAACAAAAATTAATTTTTTTTCCTAAAATTGACATTAGATTTATTTTTGCCTAAATAATAATACAAATAATATTTAAATTCAGGTATTACCGATGTTTCATATTATTTATTAATCTTCCCAAGAACTTTCTCAACTTTTTCGACCAAGGACTCATTCACGCAAACGCACATCCGTTGAAATGATTTTTTTTTTTTTGATAAGCATTGAAACTCCCATTGGAGGACCCTTCCCTTCACTTCGGGATTATACGACATTACATTTTGTTAATTTATCCTCCCAAAATAGTTAAAACCTATTTCTCAAATACAAATCTAATTCGACAGTTAAATTGTATAATATATCAGGTGAACATAATAACATATTACAATTTCAAATGATTTATTTATCATCTGTAGATCCTTTTAAATTATGGTCAAATTTCTTTGAGCGAATAATCACGGTTTCAATTATTAGTCCAATTAGGAAAGTCCTGTTGACATCATTTAGCGTTACATTTTAGGCCCTTTATATTATTTATTACTTTTACAGTAATCATCATTTTAAAATTGAAAAGATTCGTATGGGTTTGGAAACGGTTACCATATAATTTTTCTTTATCACAGAAGAACGTAATTGGCATTATCAACTGTCGACACTATCAAATACCCATTATTTCATCAATGCAAAAGAGGAATTGATCGATTGCAGTAGACGCAAGCATTTACATGTATTACACGAATCATTAAAACAAAGGGACAGTATCATACATATAAAAAACATATATATATATTTGTATATAAATCAAAATATTAAAAAAAAAAAAATGTTTGATTTTTCATACTGTAAAATATGAAAAAAAAAAAGCCTTGGATTAAAATCATAAAAGATAGCTCACTTTTATTGCGGAAGCAATGTAATGCACCCAAGAAATTCTTGTATACCCACCATCATAACATCAAACATTTGTAGCTAATATCTTAAAGAACCAATGATTTAATCCCAGCAATTAAGAAAATGTCAAACGCTGTATTAGTGTGATTTAATGTTTGAACTCAAAATAATAACGATAGCAGCTTTGGTACGCCGTTCGTAATGAAAAAATAATAAACAAATATATTTTTTTAATGAAAAAAATCCTTTCCAAATCTATCTTTTCGATTTAATTTATTCTCGTTTATTTGAAAATTTTATTCGATAAATAGAACCAAATTTTTCATATCGATAAAACGAATTAAACAAGGATTTTTTCATACTGGCAAAACTAAACAAATTTTTTTGAATTTAAATATCGGTCAATCCTGGAAAACCTTTGAAAATTTCCTGATCCCAATATAATAAGTCGGATATGAGCCTATAACGATAAATTGAATTTATTAAATATAATTATTAATAATTTTCAAATATATCATGTATTATTTTTAAAATAAATTTCGAATTACCAAATTGCTCCGCCAATGCCTTCAAAAACGGACCAAGGTTTATCGGTATTACTAAATTCTCCTTGTTCGGTTTTTTCCTCCCATTGAGCACAGATTTCAGCATATTCCAAAGCATTTCGTAAATATTTGTGATCTTTGGTAAGTATATATACCGACAAAAATGGATATGCATTTCCGGCGACTCCATGGCATAATCCTACTCCTTTACGAGTTTTTCCATGTAAATATACATAACCTGCGATTTCTTCAGCAAGATCTAAATATCTAAATATCTAAATAAATTAATATGAAACATCATTGAATTTAAAAAAAATTTTTTTTTTTTAATACTTACACCTTTTCTTTAAATACTTCGTATGCTTTACAAGCCAAGAAAAAAATTCCAGGAGCTCCATGACAGAATTGAACCAAATTGTTATTGGGTTCAAACAGGATATAAGGCCAATTTCCATCTTCTTGACGACTCTTGAACAAGATAAAGTCGGTTGTATTTTTAATCAAACCCAAGTGTTCTTGACATTGCTCCGGGAATTGTAATAACATTGTTAGTATTCCTGCGAAACCATGAGCGGCCCCAACGTAAGGTAAATCTTGCCATGTCCAAAATAATGGAGTATAATCTGTTGCATTACGGTTTATCGCCGTTCTTTTCCCGTCTTCGATGATACTTTCAATCACGCTAGACACGATTTGCGATGTCGGTGGTTCCTTTTTCGGGTCAATTAAACCGGACATAAGACGCTCGGCATATAAATACCCGGCACGACCATAAAGTAATTCGCTCGGTGTTTTAATTGAAAGTGCTGACTGATTAAAAAGGTTGATATCATGAATGTGATCAATTCCATTTGAATTAAAATCGAATGAATCAAAAAGTTACCTTGGAGAAATGCGATTGTATCAAGTTGAGATATCTATGTGAAGATTCATGGTCACCGGTATGATGTTTAACTAAATATGAACTCGTAAAAAGGTCAGGAAATGTGAGGCGCAGAAAGAATGGTACCGGAAACAAACAAAATTTGCCGCTAACCGTGAGCCGCTACTGTGTATAATCCAACAGCGGTAGTAAGAAAACCGCACTCTTGTTCAATCAAACCAGGCAAACCGGCTTCGCTAGGTGTATTATGAAGTTTCATGTGTGTTGAAAGAGCGGTGTCGATGTACTCATCTGCGATGGTCAGTGCACTCTTTGAGCCAAACATCACTCCTGTAAACACTCAATTGATGAAATATTCATTTTTGCCATTTATGATAACATTAACGCAGCATATTACACACAAACCTGGGTCACATTCATGAATTTTCATGAAAAGGAGTGATAATCCGGCCGTCCCTATAATCAAAAAGAAAAATGATGTTTTGTATGATCCGGGACCGAATAAATGGTCAAAATCACCAAAAGGTTATACCTGAATAGACATCCCAATTTTGAAAATTGCTGTTTGGTGGAACTTGTTCCAAGATTTTATCAATCAGTTTCAAAAAGGCAGTATGTAAAATTGTTTGATGTTTGGCATTTATAATTTGGTAAAAATCAGTGTCTTTAGTATTTGACATTTTGTTTAATTTTATACATTTGAAGAGTTGTGAACGAAAAATTTTCAAATATAAAAAAAGGTAAACCCTTATTTTTATTTAGCATATATAAATAATTGCGCTAAATTAGAATCATGCCATCTTCTAATCTAGTGATGAAATCAATATGACGTTAAATGATGGCATGTTGTACATTATTTATTCAAGAAATTTTCTATTTATGGATTCTGCGTCATTTCAAAAAATATTTTAAAATTATTCATTAAATGTGAGAGGAAAAAAAAAAAGTTATTCGTCTATATTTTTTTACATTCAATTCCAAATTGATTTGGATCCTGAGATAAAGCACAATAAAAACCAAGATTTTGCATATGAGCAAAGATTTCTTTTTCATCCAATTCATTCAATTTTACACAACTAACTTTGACGGCATCATCTTTTGTCCTGCAAAGAACGTTTTTTGGATCGATAACATATTTTGCAGAATCATCTTCACGCACAAATTTTTCAAGATACATTAAAGCCTTCTTTTTAGCTTCGTCTGTATATGTTTTGTTTTCAGAGCTCTTGTCCATGGTTTTTAAAAAAGATTTGTGTCGTAGAAATTAACTATAATTGACCAATTTAGTATCGAAAAAGAGAGTTTAACTTGCTTACGATAAGTTTAGATAAGAACAAACGAACCTGTTTTAAGATTTGCGAAATTAGGTGAAAATCTACTTGTTACATAGAGGCTATATATATATTTTCCTAATGGTGCTATTCCAAAATAAGATTACTTATTATTTTATTGCGTAATATATAAGTAAACAATTTGTATTTATATATAATATCGCACAAAGTTTGCATCATCAAGCATTTGGATTTATTAATCCTTATTCAAAAACGAACAAGATTTTTTTTTTATTGAAATCAATAAATAAATATTCTTTCATGCAAAATCATTCTTTGGGTTTTTGTTGAATGAATTTCTCTCGATTCTTGCATATTTCTTTGAGGCGCAGTAGTAGCCGTTTAATTAACAAATTTAGCAATACTCAAAACTATAATAGTAAATTAACACCTCATTTTAGGTTTTCCACCAATAAACTTACTACATTTTCTGTATTATCAACTGTAAGAAATATGTCTACCGATAATACAATTAAAAAATTAAACAGGTTATCAAACGAAAAAAGTCCTTATTTGTTGGTAAGAATTTTTCGGGTGAAATTTAAATTTTTATTATTTCTTTTTTTAATTTTTTTTTAAATTAAATAGCAACATGCCGATAATCCTGGTAAGAATCATTCAATTCTTGACTACATAATATAAATATATTTATTTTTTTTTAAAAAAATTTATTTGATAAGTCGACTGGTACCCATGGAGCGAAGAAGCCTTTAAGAAAGCAAAAGAGGAGAATAAACTGATTTTTTTGAGCGTGGGTTATAGTACTTGCCAGTATGTTTTTTGAACAAATTCTTTTTTTGATCAAAATGATTCGATGATTTATTATTAATAATAAAATTTGATTTTGAACACAAGTTGGTGTCATGTGATGGTATGTCAATTTGTTATTATTTATTCTCTAAACAATAAATCCTTAATTCAAACATTATTTTATTTTTGCTTAGGCTCATGAATCATTCGAGAATGAGGCTATAGCGAAGATTATGAATGATAATTTTGTGAATGTCAAAGGTACGAAATCATTCCATCTTTTTGTTTTTACTAAACATATCAACCAAAAATTAACGACTACATTTTTCAAATAATTATAAGTCGACAGGTATTAATATATTACATGGGATTTTTTTTTTTTGTGGAATTTGTTTATTGACAAAATTTATTATTAATATCAGGGAGGTTCAGCCTGATGTAGATCGCATGTACATGGTATTTTATCTTTTTTTTTTTTTTTTTTAAATAATAATATGAAATATTTTGAATTTGATGCAGTGATAAATTTTTTTATATTTGAAGATTTTCGTCCAATCGTTAACTGGTGGTGGTGGATGGCCTATGTCTGTTTTCCTAACTGTGAGTCCTACATTTATTGTTAATCATCGAATTTATCATTTTGACGATGAAATTGATTTCAATATTGATCTAATTTAATCAGCCCGATCTCTATCGTATGTACTAAGTTTGAAGCGTAATATTTATTTATTTATAAAATTTCGAAGAATTGATTTTGATTTTTATTATATAGCCGTGTTTGGTGGCACTTACTTTCCTCCGGAGGATCAACATGGAAGGTGAATGTTAATTATTGTGTTTACGTGTTAAGAAATTTAATGAAAAGAAATTTAATTAAAAAAAAATTTGACGCGTTTTTTTCTATTTAAAAAAAAAATTTGATTCAGACCTGGATTCCCATCTTTGCTTAAACGCATGGCTTCATTGTGAGTAAATTTTTCCTATATCAAAAGTCTTAATTTTCATTAATATTTCTCTCAATTTTGAATTAGATGGAAAGAACAAGGAGAAGCTTTAAAAAAAGCTGGAATGGACACTATTGAACAATTACGTGAATTGACACTTGTGAGAATATAATTTCTTATTTCGTATTCATTAATAATCATAGTAATAAGAAAATTTATCATAACAGCAAAAATCAGAAGGTCAAACCTCGCAGTTGAATATGGAACTTGCGCACAATCTACATCAATATTTCTTAAGTTCAATTGATCATAATAACGGTGGTTTTGAAGGTATGTGACGCGTCATATTTTTATTTTTAATTTTTAATTTTTTTAGGGGAGATTCGCGTCGACAAAAATATTGATTTTAAAGGTTTATTTAATTTAAGGTGAACCGAAATTCCCAACTCCGGTCCAATTTCACTTTTTGCTTCGTCACTATTATTATATAATATCAGAACTTGGTAAAGCCGAAGAAAGATTTGCTATAATGTCAATTCAAGAAATTAAAAAACGTGGACGATCATTAGGAATCGAATTTATAGGCTGTGATAACGAAGCACAATATTTAAATAAATTAAAAACTGTTGTGGATAGTAGAAAACAAGCTGCGAAAAAAGATTTAGATATGGTTAAATTTACTCTGAAGGTATTTGAATGTGAAATCGAGTTGTTTTTTTAGGAAAATGTTTATTTTAAGTTTTATTAACTCTCTCTTTTTTCGTATAAAGAAAATTGCCATGGGAGGAATTCATGGTATGTATAAAATCTACATATGAATTATAATCAATAGGCAAATCATTAATTTAGCTTTAAAATGGTTTAGATCATATCGGAAATGGATTCCATCGGTAAGTATATTATTATTTTTATTAATTTTAATTGTCTTAATTGTCTTATTCCCAAAAAAAATTTTATTCCTATTAGGTATTCAACTGATAAATTTTGGCACGTGCCTCATTTCGAAAAGATGGTAGGCATCATAGCATTGACTTTATATGTATAATATATTTCTCATTAATTATATAAATAGCTTTATGATCAAGCTCAATTATTGATGAGTTATGTTGAAGTGTATTTAATCACCAAAGAGCCGTATTATGCCGAGGTAAATATGACACGTTAAACGCGTAAATTTTTAATTGATATTGTTACTTAATGTCGGTAATTCTTTCAGGTGGCGCGTGATATTATAAAATACGTTGAACGAGATTTGAGAGATCACGAAGGAGGAGGATTTTATTCGGCTGAAGATGCAGATTCTTATCCTCATGAAGGAGCCAAGCATAAATTGGGTGAGGTTTTTGGGGTTTTTTTGTCCTCTAACGTCGTATGCGATTTATCAAATCTAAAGTAGTTGCCATGAACATAAAAACAGAGGGTGCCTTTGCAGTATGGGAAGCATCAGAAATTAACGAAATTTTGGGACACAAGCATTCGGAAATATTTTCGTATCATTTTGGGGTCAAACCTAATGGAAATGTTGATCCCAGTAAAGATATTCAAGGCGAATTGAAGAAAAAAGTATGTAATCTTTTTTTAACAATTATTTGAAATATTTGTTATATTTTTTAAAAAAAAAATTACACTGTAATAGAATGTTTTGATTGAACGATATACTCCTGAACAAACGGCCGAATATTTTAAAATTCCGTTCGATGAAGCCATATCTATTCTTTCTGAATGCAAAGAAAAGCTTGCGAAATATCGATTTGATAATAGACCTAAACCGCATCGAGATGATAAAATTCTCACCTCTTGGAATGGTACTTAATTCTTTTAAACTTTATTGATTTTTTTGTATAATTATATATATGTATATATATATTATTTAAACATGTTTATAGGGTTGATGATTTCTGCTCTTTCACGGGCTTATGATGCGATACGTGACGTAAAATATCGTGAATTGGCTGAGAATGCTGCGAGATTTATCAAAGATCAATTATATGACTCCGACAAAAAGATATTGTTAAGAAGCTTTAGAGAAGGACCTGGTGAAGTTGAAGGATTTGTGGATGATTATAGGTAAGGAATCTTTTATTATCGTATTATTTTCATTAATCAACTTTAACTCATATAATTCATATAAATTTAAATTTTACCAGTAATTTAATTGAAGGTAATAAATACTTTATTAAGGGTTATTATTTACATTAGGCTTAATTACGTTTCATTTAATTGACTTTTTTTAGGATTACTTGATCTTTATCAGTCAACCTTTAACGAATCTTATCTTGCATGGGCAATTGATTTACAAGATCAACAAAATTCGTTGTTTTATGATGAAGAAGGTGGAGGCGCTTTTTTCAATGTAGGAAAAAGCAACAAAAACATCTTGGTTAGATTGAAAGACGGTGAGCATGTTTTCATATGCACAAAGATATATATCTATTATATTGATTTTATTATTTATTTGCTGTTAAGATCATGATGGAGCTGAACCATCAGCGTAAGTGTCCGAATGTCCTTGGTTCGTTCTTAAGATAGTTTTATCATACTCTAATACTTTAAAATTTTATTTTAGTAATTCAGTATCAGTTAGCAATTTGCTTCGACTTGGTCATATTGTTGATAAATCAGATTATAATGCTAAAGCCGAACAAACTTTAAAATATTTTGTTAAAAGGTTGGATAGAACCCCTTATGCTATGCCAGCAATGGTTGCGAGTTTGATGTTATATTTGAAAGGAATTAAACAGGTATGATTAATTCAAATAAAAGTTTTTTTTTTTTGTCTTTAATGTTAATAGTTTTAATTTATCATATTACTTTACAATTTTTAGATAGTTGTTGTTGGATCGGAGCAAGAAGCGATCGTTCAAAATTATATTGATAAAATTAAAGAAAGGTTTATGCCAAATAAAATTTTGCTGGTAGCAAAAGAAAATGGGGAGGTCTTAAATGAAAGATGCGAAATGATTAAAAGTATTATGCAAGCAGGTGAAAGTGTACCTTCAGTTCATATATGTGAGAATTTTACCTGTGGAATGCCAATTAATGACGTGCATGAATTGGAAGAAAAGTTGATTGAATCGTAAAGAAATGAAGTTAGTAAGATTTGAAATAGTTATTTGTTAAAAAAAAAATTATTTTTATATTAAAAAGCAATGATTTACAAAGCCTGTATGTATATAGCTTACCTTTCTGATTTTCGTAAAGGATACTATAAGATTTTACTAATGTTACAAAACGAATAACTTATCTGTAAATTATGGTGCTATGGCAATTGCTTTAATTTCAATCAATAATTTTGGCTACGTTATTGATAAAAATATTTGGTTAAAATGAAGAAATTTTCGAAAAAAAAATTAAAGTATATGCTCACCGATGGTAATTCGGAAACTGCGACAGTAGTTCTACATGGACCAGTTTTGGCATCAAAAAATTGATTATAAACTTCATTAAACCCATCGTAATCTTTCATATTTTTTAAGAATACTGTCAAATCAACTAGATTATTTAATGTTGCTCCTGATGAGTTTAATATCGATTCAATATTTCGAATAATTGCTTTTGTTTGTTCTTTAATGTCCAATTGGAAAGAACCATCCGAAAGTTCTTTTACCTTTTTAATAAAGAGAAAGAAATAGGAGAATTAAATAATAATTAATTACAAATTTACGATGATTTTTTTTAAATTACCCCTTCATATCTGGAAAAATAAAAATAAAAATTAATAAATAAATAGTAAAACTTTATGATTTATTCAACAATTTATTTCTCACGTATTATCAAAATTTCTTGAAGAAATGCCCGAAACAAAAATAAAACCTCCAACAATTCTAGAATGTGGGTAATTTGCTAAAGGCCTAGCTCTATCTCCTGCTATAAATGCATGTCCGTTAGGAAAAATCGTCGATTTCGATGTATCTTGTGGCATTTTTGTTATATTATAGAATAGGAGCAAATATTCATGATCCGGTTTTTTATAGTTCATCAGATAATTTCTTGCAATATTATTGGCTGTTGAAATTTCTCTGTTTTTAACGTTAAAATATGAAATAGCTTTTGTGTAAAATAAAAATGTTATCAATAAATAATATATAAAATTTTAATATATTTTTTACGCTTCATGTCTTATACAAAACATGGAATCTCTTTACAGAATTGAAGATATTTAGAAAAGAAATGCTTTATGATAGAATAACTAAGTCAATAAAATATGATAATTATTTTATGGTTGAAAGTAGTGTTAAGAAATTTCGTTTGAATACAGTAAATTAATGCAATGCAATTAGTTGATAAAGTTACTGTTCAGTAGATCATAGAAAATTATAAGGAAATTTGTTAGAATTAGAAAATTTATTAAATACGTACATTGAAAATTAAAGATGATATGAAAGCAACATTCGATAAATTATGTTCAATTAATTCATAAGATAAATTATTATTCTATTGAGCTTCTATTAAAATTGAAGATATTATATTTTAAAAGTGTTAATGAAACTGAAGAGTTTTTATTTTTTATTTTTTATTGATTTGATATTAAAAGGTTCTTAAGAAATTATATAGAATTGGTGATAAGTAACTTTTCATGAAAATATAAATATGATTTAGGTAATTATAAATTCTAATAAATAAATTGGATTGTTTAAATAATTACTGAATATTTATTAAATATATTTTAAATATATAGATTGTAAAGGAAAAATATTGTCATATAATTATAAGAATGAAAAGGATTTTTATTTTGATTAAAATTAGTTAATTAATATGGTAAATTAGAATATAATTTATTATTTGAAATTTTTTAAAAAACATCAATTTTCCTGTAAAAATTTTTAAACAATCTAATTAATTGTAATTAATAACATATTTAATAAAACAAAATTTAATAAACAAAATTATTATATTAATTAATTAATATATAATACTATTTAATAATTCTAATTTAATATTGTCACCAGAAATAATTCTCTTCACACATATTCAGCTAAGTAAATTACTACAGTAAGTAAATTTCTCATCATCAAACTTTATAACTTTATAAAATCTCATATTCTACAAGTATCTGAAATTCTTTAGAATTACTTTGCTTAATTTTATAAATTTAAAGGTTTAGAAATTTAGTTAAAACATAAAGAATTTATTTATTCTAATTGACAAACTCAAAAACAAGTTAGTGTAATATTTTACAATCAAATCCTAGATGATAAACCTGTGGAAGAGAAAAGTAATTATATTTTAAAGTTGATTCCTTTATCTATTATTTGAATTACGCAAAAGTGTTATAAAATTTACAAGAGAGTTAATTTAAACTTAAGCAAAAAGCTATTCTATTTTATACTAAACTAATTTGTTATGGTTAACTAATTGCTACACTATAAACTAACTAAACTTCTAATTATAAGTGTTAATATATAAGATATAACATCTGGAATTTAAATGCAGCTTAATATTCTGTAGATTTATGTTTTTGTAATATTTTAAAATATTATGTTGCAAAATTACGCAAGTTTATGAGTTCATAAGGTTTATGAAACATTATGGTGAAATCTTATGTAAGGTTATAGATTATATTTTTTACATAATATTACAGTCAAAATCCTTCATAGTGTTATAGTATCATAAGATTTATGAAACATTACAGTGAAATATTACATAAGGTTATAGTATCGTAAGATTTATAAAATATTACAGTAAAATTCAATGTAAGGTTATAAGCTCATAAAATTATGAAATATTATAGTAAAATTCTACATAAAGTTATGGGATCATATGAAATCTTACATAATGTTACAGTTTTCTATCATAGATTTAAAATTAGTGACACATGTACAGTCAACTCTTTCTACAATGAATTTTGATATAATGAATTTTACAATACAACAGATTTTCAGTGTCAGACAGATTTTTAAATATAAAAAAACCCTTACTATACTGAATTTAG